GCTGTGGGAAATTCCATTTCTTTGGGTTATCTTCCCATCACCTTGGAAGGAACAAGGAAAAGCATTAGCTACACGTCAGCAAACGCTTTTTAACCTTACATTGCTCTCCAGCCGACCCGATGGAAAAGCACAGGTCTAGAAAACGACAGACGAATCATTTTGAACGTTCTGCACACATGGGACGAGGTGGGGAAACGCTGGAGCGTTTCCTCAGCTAAACAGCAGCATTCCGGAGGTGAGGGCTCTGAGGACACGGACACGGAGCTGCTGCACCCGAACAGGAACGAGCCTGGGTTTCTGTTCCGGGCACAGGAAACACCACAGCGGTGACCGCACGGGGCGAGGCAGGAGGAGCCCGCCCGCTCCCGCCGCCATCCCTTGGGCAGGGTCAGAGCGTGACGGCTCCACCCGGGACCGGGTCCGGGACAGGGGCGCGGGACGGGGACGCTGCACCCAGACCGCGGTAGCTCGGCCCCGGCTCGGAGGGACCCAGCCCCGTGTGCCCCGCCCGGCGCCGTTGCCATGGCAGCGCATCACTTCCGGCGCGCGGGCTCTGCGGCGCGGGGCGGTGACGCGCGCGGTGCGGGGCCGGGGCCGCCATGGGAGCCGCCCGCGATGCGGAGCAGCAGCAGCCGGGGCCGGGCGAGGCGGGCGCGGACGGCGCCGAGGAGCTGCAGGTGAGCGCGGTGCGGAGGGGCCGCGCGGGCCGGGCGGGCCGGGCGGGCCGCGGCTGATGCGTGCGCCCCGCAGAGCCCCTGGAACATCATGATCAAGCACCGGCAGGTGCAGCGGCGCGGCCGGCGCTCGCAGATGACCACCAGGTACGGGCGGGCGGAGCCGGGGGATCGCGGCCGGAGCAGGCTGCGGCCGGGCCGCGTCCCCCGCTGACCCCTCCGCCCGCAGCTTCACGGACCCGGCCGTGTCCATGGACCTGCTGCGCGCCGTCCTGCAGCCCAGCATCAACGAGGACATCCGCGGGGTCTTCAACAAGTACATGAAGGTGAAAGCCGCGGGACGGGCCCCGCAGCGGCCGTGGGTGCCCGTGCTGAGGCTGCTCAGGCGCTAACCTGCACCTCTGCAGTTCTTCCAGAAGGCAGCGATCAACGTGCGCGATAACGTCGGGGAGGAGGTGGACCCGGAGCAGCTCATCCAAGAGACGTGTCGGAGCTGCCTGGAGCAGGTGAGTGTGCGCCTGGCTGGGATGTGTCCCTTGTAACAGCTGGGGGGACACCTGCAGCCCTCACGTGGTGTAGAACCACAGACTGGTTTGGCCTGGAAGGGACCTTAAGGATCATCCAGTGCCACCCCCTTGCCACAGTGCCGGGTGCCGGCACTGTGGCAAAGATCTGAGCTCTGTCAGGCTCAGATCTTTCATTTGCATCTTGCTGCACTGTGCAGTGGTGCTCCGAAAGCAGAGCAGTTACGGGCTGTCGGGCAGATACATGAAAGAGGGGGTGTCAGGCAGGTCCCCCTCTGGATCCAGAATGGAGCAACCTTTCTTCCTCTTTCTGCAGGCCAAACTGCTGTTCTCAGATGGGAAAAAGGTGGTTCCCAGGCTGCCCCATGAGCAGACAGTGCCAAAGGTAAGTCATTGTTCCCAAAGGCCTGAATGACTTGTCAGAGCTGGGAGGAGGAGGAGGGTTGAAATTGCTTACTTTTCTGCCTCTTCCTGTCCGGGGTTAGAGCTGGGGGGCTGAGTCTGGGAGGGGGGGACGTGCAGGACCCGAAAATCACAGCTGCTTCCCATGGTTTGGTGCTTCTCACCGAGGTGGGGTGGGATCAGGGATCAGCCTTTCCCCACAAAGGGAGAGCGGCGGCTGGAGAAGGGCCCTGCTCACCCCACTGCTGCTCCGCTTCCAGCGAGCCCGACAGATGGATGAGGAGCTGAACCGCCGAGGGAGCCCCATTCCCAAGAAGGTAGGGGCGTTTCTGCACGGGCACAGGCAGCTTCTGTGCTGCCTCGGAGGAGGCTGTTCTCCTGCCAGCACTGCTGCCGGTGACAGAAGGAGCAGCTTCCCTGGGAGGGGGGGGCAGCCGAGCAGGTTCTCAGCTCACAGAGCTGAGTCACTGGAGGATTTCTTCCACACAGAGAAAGGGGCGGCCTCCAGGACAGAGCCTCTTGAACGATCGCGGGGCCTCCGGCATAGCTGCGTGAGTACCAGAACGTGTCCCGAGCTGGAGCCCTGATTTGGGAGGGTGGGTGGGAAATGAGGCGGCACAATCAGGAGTACAGAAAGGCTGTGGTCTGCTCCCCCTCCCGCGGGAAGGAGAGGTGCAGGGGGTGCCCAGGAGGAGGGGGGTAGGTTGAGGAAGTGGCATTAAACAGGCCTGGAGGGGTGGAAAGGTCCAGATGGACTGTTTGGAGTGAGCAGCTTGACGGTGGTAGTGGAGTCGTGGCTGCCAGGGAGAGAACATGCAGCAAAGATGAGGGTTTGGAGCAGGGCCTGAGCCCCAGCTCCGGTGGGGGCTGTGCTGGTCCCACAGGGACTCGTTCTCACTGCATTTTCCTTCCCCTCAGGTGGAAGCTCAAAGTCTCTGAGCCCATGAGAAGGGATGGACCAAAGGTATTGGCTGGCCAACGCTGCTGGGCTCACCCTCTCCTCCCCTTTGCTCCCGCCAGCAGAGCCCTGCTGCTGCAGGAGCAGAGGACAGCACTGAGCTGTGCTCTGCCCCAACGGGCCCCTGTGGCACAGAGAAGCAAGAAGAGGAGCGAAGTGCCTGGAGGCCTTTGCTTGCCTCCTCCAGGGTAGCCTTTAGCTGTGGTGTGGGGCTGCTGTTAGGAGACCTGGGGAGAGCAGCAGCAGCCAGTAGGATCCCACAAGGGTTTCCCACCAGGGGAACGGCTTAAATCAGCCCAGGGGGATTGTAACTTCCCTCCTCTGCAGGAGTCTGGAGGTCTGTGTCCAGCTCCCAGGCCGGGGCCTGTTTGAGGTACCCCATCAGAGAGCTGAGCTCGTGGAGCATGGGCCAGCACCAGCCTCATTTCTAATGTTGCCCCTTTTCCAATTGCTCTGTAGTGGGATCCATCCCGACTGACTGAAACCACAACCTTTGTGCTGGGATCTCGAGCAAACAAGTAAGGAGCGGCCCTGTTGATGGAGGGTGGTGTCTCCAAGGCAGGAGCCCATAAGACCCTCCCGTCACTTCGCTTCTCTGCCTTGAAAGCAGCAGGAAGGGCCTGGGGAGGAGAGAGGTGTCCCCGTGCTGCCACAACCGCCCTTGCGCACTGTGACACCTCTCCTCCTCTTCCAGGGCTCTCGGGATGGGAGGAACAAGAGGGCGACTCTACATCAAGCATCCCCACCTCTTTAAGGTCAGATGCTGCAGCAAAACACTTCCTTCTTCGGGGCTGGCTTGGAATCGGTTTCTGGTGGGAGCGGGGAGCCCGTGCTTTGGATTGCTTGTATTCCTGCCCCACCATGCCCCTGTTTTTTGTCCTGGAGCACATTCCTGCAGTCTGGCCAGGGCGCTGGACACCAGTTGAGGGCTTAGTGAAGCTTCTGCGGTGATGGGTCTGCCTGGAGCCGGGCCCTGCAGCTGGAGGAGCCAGAGCCCTTGCGGGGAACGTTGAAGCGGGTGCAGCGTCCTGGCAGGAGGGGGGCAGAGCGGGAGGGTCTGTTCCTGTGTTCAGCCAGGTCCTTGCTGCTCTATTGCAGTACGCAGCCGACCCGCAGGATAAGCACTGGCTGGCAGAGCAGCAGCACATGAGGGCCACGGGGGGCAAGATGGTGAGTATGGCTGGGCTCCAGGCTCCTGCAGCCATCGGGAATCGCACAGAGACCCACCGCAGGGGCAGGACAGCGGCTCTGCCAGGACACCAGGGCAGGGCATGTGGAGCAGAGGCGTGCCCCACAGTCCCTTGGGATCCGGGTGCCCAGGAGGGCGAGCCGTGCCATCTGGGGATGGGGGACATGGCACTGCCGTCGCCATGTGTGGCAACCCTGAGGTGTCCTCCCTTTGTGCCGCAGGCCTACCTCCTCCTCGAAGAGGACATCCGGGATTTGGCTGCCAGCGATGATTACCGGTGAGGAATGACCCGGATGTGGCCATGCTGTGGGGCTGGGGGCTGCTGCCCTGGGGACCCCAACACTGTGGGGAGACTGTCCTGGAGGGGCCATGCCCCATGCTGCATGGGGTGCTCGGTGCTGGTTAGGGGTGGATGCTGGGGTTTTGGGCTTGGTGGCAACCGGGAGTCCATGGTGGGTGCTTTGGGTCCAGGCTCAATGCTGGCTGGGGTCTGGGCTTGGTGCTGCGGGTGCCAGGGTCCGCTGGGGTCCATGATGGGGGCCCCCGTCTCACCCCGCCTCCCACAGGGACTCGGTGGACCTGCGGCTGGAGGAGCTGAAGCCGTTCGTGCCGCCGGCCTGGATGACCGAGAAGATGCAGAAGCACATGGAAACCCTGCGCCGCGGGGCGGACGCGCAGCCCCCCGAGAGCCCCCCGGAGCCCTGAGCCCCGCCCCTGGACCCCAATAAAAGCCGCTTCGCACTCGCCTCCGCCTCCGGGGAAAGGGGATCGGGCCCTTTAAGAGCCGGCTGGGACCGCGGCTCCGCGCTCGCGGGGCGGTGGCTGAGCAGCCGCCGCTCGCCGTTACCGTGGCATCGCATCCCCGGCGAGCGCCGATTGGCCAGGTCGAACTGGGCTGCGCGCTGATTGGCAGAGGGGACGCACGTTGCGTACATTCAAACCGGGCGCGGGGCGGGACCGGACGCGGCGATCGCTGAGAGCAGCGTCCAGGGAAGGGCTGCGCACCGCGACCCGTTGGAGAGGCCCCGCACCGGGCATCCCCGCACCGGGCATCCCCGCACCCGGCATCCCCGCACCCGGCATCTCCGCACCCGGCATCTCCGCACCCGGCATCCCCGCACCGGGACCCGCCAAGGACCCCTGCACCAAGACAGCCGCACCGGGACCCTGCCGCTGCGGGTCCGAGTCCTGCGCAGCCGCGGGAGGGGGGAGCGGAGGGGGTCCCGGTCCGGAGCCGCCCGGGAGCAGGACCCGCGTCCAGCGCCCGCCAACCGGGGGGGCAGCGGCGGCCGGAGCCGCCATGGCCTCGCAGAACGCGGATCCCGCCGCCGTGCCCCGCAAAGCGGCTGAGGCGGGGGCCACGGCGGCCCGCGGCGCGGTGGGGAAGAGGTGAGGAGCCGGGGCTGGGCGGGGGCCGGGGCCGGGCGGCTCCGCCGGACCGGGCCGGTAACGTGTGCTTTCCCCGCAGGCTGCAGCAGGAGCTGATGGCGCTCATGGTGAGTTGGGGCCCGGCGCGGGGAGGGGGTATCGGTGTCACGGGGACGAGCCGGGGTGGGGGGGGGTCCCGACCGGCCCTCACGGGCTGTCCCCCCCAGATGTCCGGTGACAAAGGCATCTCCGCCTTCCCCGAGTCCGACAACCTCTTCAAGTGGATCGGGACCATCAACGGCGCCGCGGGCACGGTGAGCAACTGGGACCTGGCACAGCGGGACCCTGGGCTCCCCCCAGGTCTGTGCCCCTTTGACTCCCTCCTGCCCCCAGGCCTACGAGGAGCTGCGGTACAGGCTGTCACTGGAGTTCCCCAGCGGGTACCCCTACACCGCGCCCACGGTGCGGTTCCTGACCCCCTGCTACCACCCCAACGTTGACACACAGGGCAACATCTGCCTCGACATCCTCAAGGACAAGTGGTCAGCCCTCTACGACGTCCGCACCATCCTGCTTTCCATCCAGAGCCTGCTAGCAGGTGGGTCCCATGCTGCCGGGGGGGACTGGGGCTCAGGGGTCCGGGTGCCCCCCCACTGACCCCACCGCTGTCCCCAGAGCCAAACATCGAGAGCCCCCTGAACACACACGCTGCTGAGCTCTGGAAGAACCAAACCGGTGAGTGCCTGGGGCAGAACACACACACCCGGCCCCCCCCCCCCCCCGTGTCCCACTCTCCATGCCCCTAGGGTGTGCAGCGGTGCAACCCCCGGCCCCGCTGCAGCCACCCCTCAGCCCTGCACTGCTCCTCTCAGCCTACAAGAAGTACGTGCGGGAGACTTATGCGAAGCAGACCCACAGCCAGGACAACTGACCGGCACCACCACGTCCCCCCCTGCCCCTGCCCAGCCGCTGCCACGGCTTCTGTATCATAGCTATTATTAAATTAATTTTGCAGTCTGAGCCACGGTTGTATAAATAAAAGCATGTTTATAAGTGTCCTCCTGGGGGCTCTGTTGCAGCCTGGCACCCCTAAGTCTTGCCAGCCCCTCTGCAGTTGTGGGCAGGAAAGGAGGGACACTGGTCCTTGTGGGGTGAGAGGGGCTTTATTGACCCTTAAAGAGCCTGAAGCTGGTCCCGTTCCCTCAGCAGGGTGAGGGCATCGCTTGCCTTGGCTGGGGAGTACACAGGGTCCCATCCCCTGCTCTGTGATACCAGAGGGTGCAAGGGGGGGGTGCTGGTCCTGCCTCCTCCCCTGCACCCTCTCAGAGCACCCTGCAACAGGGCCCAGAGTGAGGTCCTCCCTGACCCGACGCGGCCATGGTGCTGCCCGTCCCCACCGACTGCGTGGCCTCCACCGTCCACAGCGGGATGTTGGCTCTGCTCTCCATCTCTGCCAGCGTGGCCCTCACCTGCTCGATCTCCTCCTCCAGGCACGGGGCAGCCGGGGGCTGCACAGGGCCCCCCCCTCGCCGGTTCCCCAGCCCGGTGCGCAGTGGGGCTGCGCCATCCCCCTGCAGGGAGAAGAGCTGGCAGAGGCGGTGGGCTCTGCGCAGGTCCTGCAGGAACAGCTCCAGCGCCGACAGGAACAGCACCCACAGCCGCTCCAGCTCCCGGCGCTCCTCGGGGCTCCCCGGCGCCTGCCGCAGCCCTGCCAGCAGAGCGCACCGCAGCCCTGCGGGACGCGGCCGCTGAGCGGGGGTGACCCTGGACGCCTCCGCGGGCCCCGGTGTGGGTGCAGGGGGGGCACCGCAGCCGCTGCGGGGTGCAGCAGCCCCCTCCTTACCAGAGCTGAGCTCGCGGGCCTCCGCGCTCCTCCTGCGCCGCTCCTCCCGCAGCCGGGGGCCGTCGGCGCTGCCCCCCAACTGCAGCACCAGCTGCCGGTGCCCGGCCATGGCCTTGCAGAGCGTGGCCTCGGCTGCAGCACACGTTCCTGCTGCTCCCCGCAGGCGGCACGCGTCCGCTCTCCTTAGTGCCATCGTGTGCCCTGAGGCTGTGGCAGGGTCCAGCCCCTCCATGGTGGCCCCTGGCTCTGGGCTGCGAGCCCCTGTCCCACCAGCTGCACGGTGCTGCTCTCGCTGTCCCCACATAGGCTGGGTGCTCCCTCGTCCCCTGCTGCGCTTCTCCTGGCCTTAGCGAGAGGCAGGGAGGAGCGGATCCCTGGGGAGCAGCGATGCACGCCGGGCGGGCACGGCGTGTCCCAGCACAGCAGCTCCAGCGTTGCCTTGACCCCGTGGGGAGGGGGGAACCGGTGTTCCCCCCCATCCTGTCCCCAGCCCAGGTCCTCTGCGCCCTCCTAGGCAGAGTACAGGGTTCCTGGTGTAGCGCTGGTGCTGGAGGCTCCCCAGATCCCCCCAGATGGGCAGGAGCGGCCGCAGGGCCCCCAGTGCCGCCGTGTGAACCGGCTGCTCCGCATGGAAACTCTGAGCTCAGCGCTGGCGCCGGCCCAGCCTCCCGTGGGAACCCTGGCCCCGCACTGCCCTGTGGCCCCGCGGCGTGAGCGCGACCAACACAGGCACCCACCACACCCGTCCCCACCGGGGGAGCAGCACAGGGGCCGTGGGGCCGCAGCCCCCTCCCCGTGTGAACCCGGTTGACCCCAAACCAGCAGCTCGAGCCTCCCCCCTTTATTGAGGATCACACTGAAACCGCGCGCGGAGGAAAAGCTCGGCCGTGGCAGTGGGGCCGGCGCAGGGCAGGGTGCAGCTGGGGCCAGGGGCTGGCTGCTGTGGAGCTGCTGCTCCCTGGCTGCTGCTGGAGCGGGGCTGGGCGCAGCCACCGGCCCGAGGAATGTCTGGTCCTTTACTGCACCCCCTCCATCATCTTCAGGAACTCTGCAAGACAGCAGCGGGCTCAGCCTCTGGCCCGGCCGGGCCGCACAGCACCTGTGCTCAGCCATGGCCAGCGCTCACCGTCGAAGTCGATGCGCCCATCGTTGTTCTTGTCCGAATCCTTCATCATGTCCTCAATGTCCTCATCGGTGACGGGCTCCCCGGTGGCCCTCAGGATCTCACCCAGCTCCTCGATGTCAATGAACCCATCTGCATTCCTGCAGCAGGGTGAGGGCAGGATGTGCCCAAAGAAATAATAAACTTTTTTTGCCCAGAGAAGCTGTGGCTGCCCCATCCCTGGCAGTGCTCAAGGCCAGGTTGGACACAGGGGCTTGGAGCAAGCTGCTCTAGTGGAAGGGGTCCCTGTCTGTGGCAGGGGTCGGAACTGGGTGATCTTAAGATCCTTCCCAACCTGAACCATTCTGATTCCATGTGACCCCGCTTCCCCTGCAGGCAGGATGGGGCAGCCATCACATCGCCCCCACTCACCGGTCGAAGACACGGAAGCAGTTGGCCAGTTCCTCCTCAGACTTGCCCTTGGCATCCTCTTTCATCTGGCGCACCATCATCACCAGGAACTCCTCAAAGTCGATGGTACCGCTGCCTGGGGGGAGGAAGCCAAGCATGGGTCAGGCTGCCCACCCAGCACCAGCACCTCCTGCCCAGCACCCAGGGCTGCTCACCATCCTCATCCACCTCCTCTATGATGGCATCCAGCTCCTCCTTTGTGGGGTTCTGCCCCAGCATCCTCATCACCGTCCCCAGCTCCCTGGTGCTGATGTCCCCGCCGCCATCAGCATCGAACATGTCGAAGGCGGCCTTGAACTCTGTGGGGAGAGGGTCAGTGCCGGGCAGTGCACAGGACGGCACCGGGGCAGAGCCTGGCCCTGCGCCTTGCCTGGGTCTGGTCCCTCTCCCCGCTGCTCACCCGCGATCATCTCCTCGCTGAGGAAGGCGCGAGCCTCTGCCTGCTGGTCCGTCTGCAAGGCACGGGAGCGGGCTCAGCACAGCCGCACACGGTGCACCGGGGAGCTCCGCACACATGGCAGCCAGTGGGGCAGGATGGGGGGAGAACCCATCACAGCCAGGGGATGGTGCCAGGGCAGCTCCGGTGCCGCACAGGCCCCTCTGGTGGCAGTGGGTGCTCGGGCCCCTCTGTGGCGCAGTGGTCACGGTCCCCATGCGCATCCTTGGCATCCCGGGCACGCGGTGCTATTTTGGGGGTCTCCTCAGCTCCCCTTATAGGGATCAGTGGAGCCGCGGCCGCCGGCACCTGTCGCTCCTGATCGAGTTTCTCCTGGAGGCGCAGGCTGGGGCCGGGGCGACGCCGTGTCCCATGACCCTGCGCTCGCCTTTCAGCCACCGCTGCCTCTGCGCTGCCCCGAGCTCCGGCCAGGGCTTAACTCCCATCCCCACACACCCGCACCCCCCGGGCAGCCAGGCAGACCCCAGGGGCACGGCCACGGGGCCCCTGCACCACCCTGACACCTCCGTGCCCTCACTGCTGAGCTTGGCCCAGCCCCGGGCTCCATCTCCCCACCACCATCCACGGAGGCACCTCAGCAGCCCTGATTCCCAGGGCACCCGGCACCCCCTGCGCCCCAGGTCTCGCCCCAGCACACAGCACATGCCATGCAGCACACGGCACGCGGCAGCTCTTACCATTGAAGGCATTTTTGCTGCTTTCCTCCCCGAGGGAGTCACCACCTCCTGCAGCAGAACCCTCCAGAAGCTTCCTGGTGCCACTGGCACCCCAATTTGTAGCGTCCCACGGGGCTGGCGTGCCCCCAGCCGCTGGCCCCCCGGCCCCAGCAGCCTATCAGCTCCCCGGTGGCAATCCGGCCCCGCTCATTGGCAACCAGCGCATTTTACCTAATTTAGCCAAAGCGTTATTGGCCAGGAGCTGGGGATTAAGCACGGGTCTGGAGCTGGGATAGAAATTCAAGCCCTCCAGGGAGGGACACAGGAGCCTTGGCAGGAGGACGGCTCTGCCCACCCCCCCACCCGCCGCGGCACCCCCGCCCAGAGCAGCTCAGCGAGGAGGGGGTTAAAAATAGCCCCAGAGCCGCCAGCATCACTCAGACAAGGGGTTCAGGACACCCCTGCCCCAGACATCTGCCCCAGTATGGACCATTGCCCCCCTCCCCTGCCAAGCCCACAGCCCTGCTGGGGCAGGATCCCAGGAGGGGGCCAGGCTCCCCTGACACAGTCCCATCCTGACACAGTCACCTCCTTCACCCTGCAAGCCCCCGGGGGCTCCAGCCTCGTTCCACTACCTGTGCCCCTCCTTCAGCCTTGTTTTCTGCTCTGGTGGGCCAGGGCACAGCCGTGTTGCAGCATCCACCCAATGGTCCCCAGCAGGACGTGGGCCATGAAGCCCCTGAGGGGCACAGAGCATGCTCCCCCCCCCCGCGATACAGGGTCCCCAGACCATTGGCACCTGAGTCCGGAAAAGGCCCTGTCTCTCCGTGCCACCAGGAGAGTGGGAAATGTGCCCAGGTGCCTCTTTGAAGGCTGTGTCCTCACACAGTGCAGCCCATGCCAGCCACCTCTGCCAGGGCTGGCCACGGCTAGTGGCCTGCCTTGGGAACATGCTGGCCAAGTGGCCCGTGTCCCACGGTGCTCTGAGGGGGCTGCACAAGAGCTGGGGGCTGCAGAGGGGTCAGGCAAACAGCACCCTGTCCTGCAAGGTCCCAGTGCCGGGGACATGCAGGAGGTTCCCTGGCTCCTGGTTTTGCTGGGAGCACCCATTCCCGGGATGGGTGCTGCTGGTGGCACCAGCGCAGCCTCTACAAAGTCCCACCCTGCCCTGCAGCCAGCAGGGAGGGAGTTGGGAGGGTTTGGGACCACTGGGCACCAGGTGCTGAAGCCCCCCAGCCCCGCCGGTGCCGTGGGGAGCTCCGGGACCCCTGATGGAGCCCGGGCAGGATGCGGGCTGCTGGAGCTGAGCGCAGCGGGCGAGCAGGGGCAGAGCGATGGCAGCAGCTGGGCCGATTCCTCGGTATTAATAGACATTCCCAAGGAAGCGGCGAGGAGGAAGCAGACACGGCGCTAAATAAGGCAGCGGAGCCGCGCGGGCCACGTAGGGAGGCCAGACGGGCAAGGGCCCGGGGAGCCCGGGCAGTGGGGAGCGACCCTACCCGGGGGGTGCGGCACCGTGGAGCCAGGAGCCGGCTGCAGGTACCGGGGTGATGGAGCACCGGACACGGCGGGGATGGGGCATCAGCACCCGCAGCGCCCGGCGCCGGGATGCGCGGGGGACCCGGGTCTCGGGAGCGGTGACCGGCTGGGGTCGGGCCGTGCCGGCCCCGCTGCCGCGATCCGGGTTCCAGGCGGAGGCGGAGCCGCGCAGGGAGGATCCCGGGACGCGCCGCAGCCATCGCTCGGCACGGCCCGGCGCGGGCAGCGCGGTACGGACCGGCCGCGGCGGGACGCGGCTCCTCCGGGCGGGAGAGGGGAGGGGGCGGGAGGGGGCCCGGGGCTTCACCGGAGGGTCCCGGGGCCGAGGGGTCCCAGGGCCGGGGGGCCCCAGCCCAGGCCTGCTCGGGGCCCGCGGGGCCGCGGTGGGCAGCCCGGTGCGGCGGCAGCCCCCGTCCCGCCGCGTTGGGGTGACCGGTGTGACCCCCCGGCAGCCGGCCCGCCGGGATGGCCGCCCGCATCCTGCACCGCCTGCGGCACGCTCTGTCCGGTGAGGGTGGCCGGGAGGAGCGGGCGTGCGGCAGCGCTGAGGCCGAGGACTGCCCGGAGAGCTCGGAGCTGGAGGATGACACCGAGGGGCTATCGACGCGCCTCAGCGGCACCCTGAGCTTCACCAGCCACGAGGAAGAGGAGGAGGAGGAGGCAGAGGGTGCAGGAGAGGAGCTGGGGCAGCCACCGCAGCCGGCGGCAGCGGGTGCCGAGGACGGAGGTAGGAGCTGTGGGGCCGGGGCGGCAGCACCGGGGGGGCGGCCGGGGGATGGTGGGTGCCGCGGGCTGACACCCGTCTCCCGGCGCAGAGTGGGGCCCTGCGGCCGAGCGTGCCGGCGGCAGCAGCCTCCTGACCCGGCAGCTGCAGGAGCTGTGGCGCAGGTCCCGGGGCAGCCTGGCACCGCAGCGCCTGCTCTTCGAGGTCACCAGCGCCAGCGTGGTCAGCGAGCGCTCCTCCAAGTACGTGGTGAGTGAGCCCGGCGGGGCTGTGCGCAGGGTGATGCGGGGCGGGTGCGGGTCCTGTCCCCCCCCGGGGCAGGGGTCCCCCGGGCTGGTGCTTATTTCTCTCTGTCTTTCCCCGTGCTGCTCGGACGGTGCTGGCGGCTCAGATGAGCCTCAGGTAACTATCGCTGATGGGTGCTGCAGCTGCTCCCTCCTGCCCGGGCAGACCCCGCCACGGCCATGCTCTGGCTCTGCCCGTGGCTCTGCCTGACACCCGGCTCCCCCCGCAGCTCTACACCATCTACCTGATCCGCTCCGGCCGGTTTGACAAGGCCCCCGCCGCCATTGCCCGGCGCTACTCGGACTTTGAGCGGTTGAACCGCTGCCTGCGCTGCCGCTTCGGCTGCGACATGGCCGGCATCGCCTTCCCCAGGAAGAGGCTGCGCCAGAACTTCACCGCTGAGACCATTGCCAAGCGGAGCCGAGCCTTCGAGCAGTTCCTGTCCCACCTGCACTCCATTGCTGAGATCCGCCGCTCCCCCGAGTTCCTCGAGTTCTTCTTCCTGCAGGACCTGCAGGCTGCACAGCGCCTCACCTGCACCGGCATGTACCGCGAGGCCCTGGCTACCTGGGCCAACGCCTACCGGCTGCAGGACCGGCTGGGGGCCTGCGGCTCGAGCCGCTTCCTGCTGACGCTGGCCGGGCTCGCCGTCTGCCACCAGGAGCTGGACGAGCTCGGCGAGGCCCATGGGTGCTGCGAGCAGGCGCTGCAGCTGCTGGAGGCTCAGGGCAGCCACCCACTGCTGGGGCCCTTCCTGCAGGCGCACATCCACCTCGCCTGGAAGGTGGGCAAGGACAAGCGGCGCTCGGAGGCCCGGCTGCAGGACCTGCGGGAGGCCGGGCCGCCCCTGCAGCAGCAGCCCACCCTCAAGGAGTGCCTCATCAAGGAGCCTCTGGAGTGAGCATCCCGCTGGTGCCGTGGTGAATGGAGGGAAGCGGGAGCAGCGAGGGTGCTGGCACTGGTGGGATGGGGCAGGGAGGCAGCGCTGTGGTCCTGCACCAGCACGGCCCATGCCCGGGAGCTGCCTCAAAAAAGCACTTTCTCTGTGGTTCGTCCGCCCCATCTCGTGGGGCTGGGCACTCACCAATGCCCCGGCAGTGCTGGGAGCTGGCTCGAGGGGCTTTGGGGATGGACGGGACCTCAGCTGGGTCATACTGGCTCTGCAGAAGGCATCTGCAAAGTCCAGGCTCTTGCCAGGAGCTTCCCATAAAACTTGCATAAGAAGGACTTTATTTAATAAAGTCTCAGTAGGAAGCAGAGCAAAGCGCCCGCCGCGTCTGTTCAGCTTCACCTCCCCCTGGGCACCACCAGCGGGACACCTCATGCTGCCCACTCTGAGGTGGGAGCTGCTCCGTCCCCTTTCCCTGCTTCCTCTTTTCCAAGCCTCTCCCCTTCCCGAGTCCCTCTCCCAAGCCCAGCCCTGGGCAAAAGACAAGGGTGAGCAGAAGCAACGACTGAGATGCAGGGCACAGCAAGGGCAGAAGAAGTGAGAAGGGGAAGCAGAAGCTGTATGTGCCGCAGGAACACTTTCACCGGCTGCAGGGGCAGAGCCAGCCCTGGCACCTCCCACCCTCCCCTCCAGAGAGGTTCCCTGGGTGAGCATGGTGCCACAGGGACAAACTTCAGAGGCTGAGCTGAGCTCTTCACCAACAGCTTGCTTTATTGCAGGTGAAAGGTGCTGATCATATAGTGCGGTTCTGTGCTGTGCTGTTGGTGACAGCAGACGTCTGTGGGTCCCCATCCATCACGGCGGGCCTCAGGCACCAGCACTCCCACAGTGCTGGATCCAGCCCATGCTTCAAAGCTCCTTCCTGCCGCCTGGGTCCTGCTCTGCCGCATCAGTTTTGGTCCCAGGGTCTCCCTCTCAGTGTGCCCAAGCCCCTCCCTGTGGGGCTCATCGGCTACAGCTTGCTCTGGTTTGGCATTTCCTGCACCCTGATGACTCCCTCCTGCGCGCAGGTGACAGCCAGGACCCCGTCCCTGCGCCACAGCCGGCCCTGCACCAGGCCCCGGCACCCACCTGCAGAGAGGCTCCCTCAGACCACAGCTCGAGGGGTGGGCAGGGCCAGGGCCTGCCATGCAGGGTGCCAGGGGCATGATGAGCACTCACCAGCCCAGGGGCTCTCACACTCATACAGCATCCAGTGGTCCGCTCGGAAGGGTGCATGGAACCACATGGAATGGTCAAGGGACACCATGAGCTTGATGTGGTACTGCCGGTGCGGTAGCAGGGCCGTGCCCAGGAAGGCGTAGTCGGAGATGTAGGCAGCCACGCAGCAGTGCACCTTCATGTCAGTCTCTCCTGCAAAGCAACCGGCTCTGCCCGTCCTGGCCAGCAGCTCTGCTTCCCGAGAGCCTGGCACAGCCGAGACGCTCCTCCAGAGCCGCTGCCCTGCCCATGCTCCCGGGGGAAGCCCGTCATGGCTGGGCATGGCACAGGGCACTGCTCCGTGCTGCAGCACCTGCATCTGCATCACAGCCTTGAAATCCACAGGCTCGGGGTGCAGGCAGCCTCTGAACCACAACCCTTGAGTGCTCTGCAGCATGAGCTTGAGCTCGAGCCCTCAGCTCGTGGGCAGCCGAACACCCTCCTGGCAGGACCCACCTATGTAGCCTCGTGCTCGCACCCAGAAGAACTGCTTTGGCTCCTGCGGCTCCAAGCAGAACGTGTCTGGCGGGTTCACGGGTTTGATATCAATCGGCACATCTTCGGCTTGAATCTTGGTGAGGTGCTTTCTGTATCTGTCTGCCAAGTTAGGATTCCTGTAGGCCGACACAGAGAAGCGAGGTTAGTGCCAGGCAGGCCAAGGGCACGTCCTTGGCAGCGGCTTCAGCCCGGGGCCACCCGGGGCACGCTCCTGCCCTGCCCTGCCTCTCTGCTCCCTTCCCACGTGTATTTGGGAATTCCTTGGGCAGTCATCCCAATCCTCTCCTGCCTGCTTTCGCCACCGCACCTCCCCGAGCCCCGGGCGCAGGAATGGAATCCCCGGGGTGCCCCTTCCACCCCACTCACCGCAGGAACTTCTGGATGAGCTCCTCTTGCGTCAGCAGGTCCTCGGGGGGGGGCACAGAAGGCATGGTGAACTGATGCTGCACCGGGCTCCCCTGGGAGAGCTGGAAGGAGGCCTGGCAGGTGAAGATGGGCTTTCCGTGCTGGATGGCCTTCACGGAACGAACAGAGAAGCTCTTCCCGGTGCGGGTCCGCTCCACCTCGTACAGCACCGGCACACTGGGGTCCCCTGGGGCAGCAATGGGACATCCTGCCGCTGGGCCACCAGCACCGCAGATGGGACGCGACTTACAAAGGCCAAGCCCTGGGGCCATGCGGGCAGTGCCACAACCCCCTCCGTGCTGCGCGGCACCAGCTCACCCCGCGGGCCTCATCCGCGGCAGTCACCGCCCGCCCCGGCCCCCCTGCGCGCTGACAGCCGCCCAGCAGCCCGCTCGCCCCGCGCCTCCCGCCCCGGCCCCTGCCCACCTGCCCGCACGAAGTAGCAGTGCAGCGAGTGCACCTGCTCGTCGCGGCTGACTGAGCGGGCGGCCGCCACCAGGGCCTGCCCCACGATCTGCCCGCCGAAGAGGCGCTGCGTGGCGGGCACCCAGTGGTGCCGGCCCCTGCGGGGGAGAAGGCGGCGGCGGTGAGAGCGGCGGCGGCAGCGCGGCCCGGCCCCGGGCTCGGCGGCGCCGCGCACCTGAAGAGGTCGAGCTCCAGGCGCTCCAGGCTCAGCACGCTGGTGATGAGCGCGCTCCGCAGGTCCCCGGGCGGCGGCCGCCCCGAACCCGGCCTCGAACCCGCGTCGGCCCCGTCCGCGTCTCCCGGCGCTGCCATCTTCGCCAGCGGCGGCACGGAGAACAGCACCCGCGGCCGCCGCGCTCAGGGTCAGGAGCACCGCCCACTCGCGGGCGCGCGGCCGCCAGCTGATTGGGCCTCCCAGGTGTCAGTCAAGTGGGTGTGGCAGAACGCTCTGCGCTGTTTGGCTCCCCCCCTGCCAATCCGGAACGAGTGCCTCTGATTGGTCAGATCCAGGGTGAGGGCGGGGTCGCAGTCAGTTTAAGGCAGGGAGCGCGACTGCGGCTACAGCTCTTGGTGCGGCCGGGAGGCTGGCGCCTTTGGGCCCTGCCCTGCCCTGCCCTGCCCTGCCCTGCCCTGCCCTGCCCTGCCCTGCCCCGCCCTGCCCCGCCCTGCCCCGCTCCATTCCGTTCCGTTCCGTTCCGTTCTGCCCTGCCCTGCCCTGCTCCGCTCCGTTCCGCTCCGTTCTGCCCTGCCCCGCCCCGCCCCGCCCCGCTCCGCCCCGCCCCGCCCCGCTCCGCCCTGCCCCGCTCCGCTCTTCCCGGGTTCTTCGCTCTGCTGCGTTTGAGCTTTCTTTCCCGTGATGTGTGATGGCAGCGCCGGAGCCCTCCGGTGCCACCGTACCCGGCAGCGATAGGCCGCGTCAGGATGCTGCGTGTCCGCCCGGCCGGCAGGGGGCCCCCAGAGCCACGGCACAGCCCGCTATGGCTCGCGGGAGGACGGGGCCCGCCGGGGCGCGTCCTCCCGGTAGCGGCGGCAGCCGCTCGGTGGGTGCGGGCGGAGGGCCCGCCGGGGCTCCGTGGTGGCTCCGTGGTGGCTCCGTGGTGGCTCCGTGGTGGCTCCGTGGTGGCCTGTGCGAGCACATGGCCTCTGTGAGCCTCCGGATCGCAGCCCCGCGCACCGTCCTCGCCCAGCACACCGGAGGTGTCCCGGGTGCTGACCCGGCGAGCCGCGGGTGCGCCGCGAGGAGGCGGTGGTGCGATGCCGCGGGCTGAGGCTGTGCAGGTCCCGCCGCGCTCCTGTGCAACGCGGCCAGGAACGGGCCTCGAGTCACTCGGAGCCGGGTCCGTCCCCGCGCCGCAGCCGCCCCCTCTCTGCTTGTGGCGGCTGCCCTCGACCCCACGGCGAGGGGGACCTGGCCCCGGAGCGCAGGGGCAGGCGGGGGGGGTGGTGGTGGTGTCACCGCAGCGCTGCGGAGCAAAGGCTTCAAGCATGAGGGAAACACCCAGAGCTTGTTTCTCAAGCCCCGGCCCCGGGCGCTGAGCTCGCAGCAAGAGCTGCTCCAGCGCACGCAGCTCCAGAGCCCGTCGGGCTGGGATGTGGGGGGCGGTGTTGGAGACTTCACCCCATCGCTGTGCTTCAGTTGTGTTGGTGTTTTTGGGAGGGTCAGCCCCTTGCAGGAGCAGGACTGCTCTGTGGCTGGGGAGTTCCTCTTGATCGAGGGTTTTGTAACATTATCTGATACTATCAAATCTCCCTGACTAAACGGAGTGTCGTGTTTCCTGAAACGCTGCTCTGTGCAGTTGGAGCTGCTTGTTTCACCCCTCAGCTGAGCTGCAGAGAGGCCTCGAAGGCTCTGCTGCTGCCCACCCCCGCCATCGCTCCCTGGCATGCGTGGGCTTCCATCAGACTCCGGCGGGCTCCTCTCTCTGCCTCTTGCTCCGTGCAGCTCTGACCCTGTGTCACCTCCTGGCACCAGCACTGCAGGAGGGTAAAGGGTCAGGGGAGGGGTTGGGAAGCGCTGGGCTCCCCGCAGCCAGCGAGGTGGGAGAGCTGCACACTGCACTGGGTCACCGGCCACAGGCATGTGCCTGAGCTGTGGCTGCTCCAGCGCAGCTCCCGGGGCGCTGCGGGCTTCCCTGCGGTATCGCCCGCAGGAAACAGCTCATCCCTCACGAGGTAAACATGTTTCCCAAGAGCGAAACTGCCTGTTCGGGGCCAGCACCCGCCTGTGATTTACCTCCACGTGAGCGCTGGGCCGGGCCCTCCCGCGCTCTGCCCAGCCCCCGCACAGAAGCACCCGTGCCCTGGCTCAGCTTGCTGGGGCTGCTGCAGCAGGGGGGATCCCAGCCCAGCCCCTGAGCCCTCCTCTGACGGGACTCTCCCACCTTACTGAAGGCAGCGCCCTGTAGCCACAAGAAATGCTGCGACAGAGGGCGAAGGAAACCCCCTTGGCTGGGGACCAAACACCCCAAAGCTGCAGCTTCCTCCCCAGGCAGGAGCGGGGCAGCTGCCCCCTCGCTCCCCGTGTTGCTCCATGCACCCAAGCCCTGCAGCGCGCTCGCTCGCTGGCTGGAAGGACTTTATTGGGCTCTACCCGCTGCTGCCCGCACCCCTGCCCTGCGGCGCGGTGAAGGTCCCTCTGACGCACTCCGTGTGCCCTGTTGGGGGGCTCGTGCCGTGCTCACCAGTGCCGGGGGCAGCTGTGGGTGCAGGTCCTGTCGCCATGGGGGGAGCCCTCGACACCTCACTCGTGTTTGCAGAAGCTCTTCAGCGGCGGGGGCAGGTCCAGGCCGTCGATGGCCAGGCGGTGCACGATGTGCTTCTCGATGACCAGCCGGCACAGGGTCTGCAGGGACGGCACTGGGGACAACACAAACAAGGAGCTGAGCTGCCTGTGGGATGGGTCCCACAGCTCCCCAGAGGCACCCAAAGGTGGCAGTTGCTCTGCCACAGGAGCAGCAGGGTCCTGCCCAGGGCTTGAGCTGGCTGTGCTGGCTGGCCCGGAAGCTTGAGGGGCTCCATGCAGAGCTCTTCCTGTTGCTCAGAGCAGGGCTGAGGGATGGTTCTGTGCCCAAGCCACACCTTGCTGGGGCTGTTTGCATCTGTCATCTCTGGGGGCTGTTGAGCAGCTCCCCAGGTCTCACACACCTGCACTGTGCTCTGCTTTCCCTGGCTCCTTGGCCTGCTTCCACTGCTGGGTGTCTGCAGGACAGCTCTAGAGATGCCTTTGCGACAACCACCTTGACCTATTCTGTGGCCACCCCTGTGGCTCTGCCTGGTTCCTGCTCCTGTGACACATGTCCCTCTGGGATTCCTCTCTCCACAGCCCTTGGTGGCTCAGCACAGCGGTGCAGTTGTTTAAACAAGAGCTGACTCAGGTGCAGCCGTGGGCCTTGGCTCATCCACAGCTTCCAAACCAAAGGTGAGCTCCCTGGGGCACTGTGCTCAGCCAGATTGGACCCAGCCCTTTCGGCTGAGGCCTCGCAGCTGCAGGGCCGATGCCTCCAGGAGCTCACACCAGGCAGAGCAGGGCTGTGCTGAGCAGGAGCATGCTGTGCCCAGCCCTCTGCCAGCCGCGGGGCTGGTTCTGGATGGCTGGAGCACTTATCTCCACCTCAGCAGCATGGGGTGCATCCTGCCGAGTGCTGGGTGATGGGTGGCAGATGCCCTTTGCCTCTCCTGGCCCCTGCACCGCGTGTCACCAGCAGCTCAGCTGCTACTTCTGCTTTCCACTTCACCCACCAGTCCCTGGCCAGGAACAGAAACACACTGGGACTGATTTTAAACCCTGCGGAAGTGGTGCACAAACCGGAGTTACTGAAATCTTAGTGGAGGAGAGGAAGCCAGATTGTGCCTCTGCGGCAGTGCCCCTGCCAGCCGCGGGGACACAGCCTAGGGCTCAGCGCTCACAGGGACCCACGGCTGCGGTGCAAGGGGCCAGCTCTCCCCTGTACGTGCTCTAGTGCATCCCTCACTCTCCAGGGTCTCAGTTGCCTGCGGTAGCTCAGGTCGGTGACCCTCAGCAAACTCCCAAGGCAGGGCCCGGGCAGCCGGGCACGTTTAACCCCCGTTTGGATAACTGGGCTCACAGCAACTGGTGGAAGAATCCCAGATTCAAGCCTTGAGACAGAATAAGATGAAGGCTGCACCAGCAGAGACGCGGTTGGTGGCTCCCGGTGCTCGGCACAGCCACCACCAGGCACCAGCTCCTGTCTTGCCCCTCATCTCATCTCATCTCATCTCATCTCATCTCATCTCATCCTCAGCACTGGCTGTTTATGATGCTAATTAGCGATGAGCCTGACTCCTTGTAGGAGCCATGACCAGCACCGCCCGAGGGACGCCAGGCATTGCCCAATCTCCGGTGGCATCATGGGGTGTCCGCCCAGGGCACAGCACGGGGCACGTGGCAGGTGCAGGGCACAGCGTGTGCCTGGGCGGGCGCTGCCGGATGTTTTGGTGCCCGGCAGACGTCGCCCGGCTCTGGCTGCCTCGTGCCGTGGGCAAGGCCAGGCACCGCGACGGACACCAACAGGCAGCAATGTGAGCACCAGCACCGGCCTCTGGTCAGGAGCGTCCATGCGGCTGGGGGTGAGCATGGCACTGCTGGGGCACCATGGCCCTCAGGCCAGGGCAACCCAGAATACCCACCCCATCGCTCTGCCCGGGAGCAGCAACCAGCCCAGGCTCTGCCCTGACCACTGCCACCGGGAGCTGGTGCGGGCTCTCCCCTGAGCCGGTGCGGTAAAGCTGTCAGCAGATGCTGCCCGTCAGCAGCAGGGTGGGCTCTCAGCCCTGCTCTGTAGGGTCCAGGGCTCTCCTGTGCTCTGTCCCGTGTCCCTCTGCCCTGTGCTACTCTCTGATGCTCCCACTGTTGAGGTGACACCCCCCCCCCCCGCCCAGCGACTCCACAGCTCCTGTCCTGTGCCCCCTGGGATGGTTTGGGTGCTTACAGCCATAATCCACCGGGATGACCCGGACGCTCTTGGTGGAGGCGAAGACGTCGACCACAGCGTAGAGCGGGCGGGCTGTGGGCAGGTGCCGGGCGCTGGGCCCCATGTCCTCGCCGTTGATGATGATGTGCATGTCGGCGGTGCCGTCGGGCTGCGGGGTGTACAGCACCCCAATGCGGCTGCGCCGGGCCGTGGGGGGCAGCACGTTCGTCCTGTACAGCTCGTCCAGGATGTGGCTGTAGCGCCCGGGCCTGCTGCGCCCCACCAGCACGTCACGGGGGATCCTCACGCGCTCGATGCACAGGAAGGGCTCCCCAGGGGTGCCCCGTGCCTCCTCCCCATCCACCGCCACGCGGTTGTGGTTGCGGGTGATGGCAAACACCCACGTGTCACCCATGTTGACCAGGTCCGGCAGCGAGTACTCGGGCACGGCCTCGAGGCGCTGTGGGTCGAGGGCCGTCAGCCCCACGCGCAGGTGCCCACACCAGCCCAGCTCCTTCTCCTCGATCTCCACCAGGAACACCTCCCCGGGCGCCAGCGGCTCCTGGCTGAAGCAGAGCCCGTGGGCGAAGCTCTCCACGCGCATGGCCCGCGTGCGGGTCCCGTCCAGGCGGACGTTGGCGCCATGGACGCGGTGGAAGCGCGCGGCCATGGCCAGCGCTGCTGTGCCTATTTATAACCGGCCCCATCGGTCACAGCTGCCGCGGGGCGGGGACGGGCGCGGGGCCCGGAGGGGTCCTAGTGCCGCGGGGGAGGGTCCCGCGGGTACCGGGGGCAGGCGGGCACCGTCAGCCTCAACGGTGCTCAACGCGGAGCCTGCCCGGGGGCCCGGCCGTGCCCAGCGCTGCCCGGCCATGGCCGCTGTGCAGCCGCGGCTCCGCCGGTGCCGGTGCCGCTCTCACGTGCCGAACGGACGGGACAGGGACCGGGCGCCCCCGGAGCTCTGATTGGCCTCCGGGCGGCCCCACCCCGCTCACGTGATCGCGGTAGGTCATATGGGTGGGTATCATGTGCCTGCCGGTATTGCCGCCTGCGGGAGCCGCGCCGGGAGCTGTGGGGGTCAGCGTCAGCGGGCGGAGGGGAGGGACGGGACCGGGCACCGGGAGCGGGGCCGGGGCTGGGGACAGCCGGGGCGGTTCGTGGGGCGCTGCCGGTGCCGTTCCCGGCCGGCAGCGCCCCGACCTCTCTCCCCCGCCGTCCGCAGATGGGGCCGGTGCTGCTGCTGGCGCTGCCGCTGATGCTGGGGCTGAGCAGAGCCGCCCCCCCGGACCATGAGGTGACCTTCCTGCCCGGGCTGCGCAAGCAGCCGTCCTTCCGGCACTTCTCGGGCTACCTCTGCGCCGGGCCGGGCAAGCACCTGCACTACTGGTACGTGCGGCCGGCGCTGGGCTGTGCCCCGGGGGAGGGCAGGCGCTGGCCGGGCGCTGACGACCGCGTATCCGCAGGTTCGTGGAGGCCCAGAGCAACCCCCAGAGCAGCCCCCTGGTGCTGTGGCTGAACGGGGGCCCGGGCTGCAGCTCCATGGAGGGCTTCCTGAAGGAGCATGGTCCCTTCCTGGTCAGTAGCCTCAGCTGCCCCGTGGCCGGGGCTGTCAGGCTGTGTGTGCGGCATGAGCCACCCCACCAGGGCCAGCCTGGCTGTGCCCTTCGGTCACTGCCTTCTGCCTCCCCAGGTCCAGCCCGATGGGGTCACGCTGAAGTACAACGACTACGCCTGGAACAAGGTACGGGCACAGGAGCTGCCACCGCCGACAGCTGAGGGGGAGAGGGTGGCCCTGAGCTGGTTCCTCCTGCCTGTGCCACAGAACCCGTTCCTGCAGCCCCCCTGCCTGGCTCACTCTCCTCTCAAGTCTGTTCTCAAGACCTGGCAGGAGCCCTGGGCCGGGCCAGGCACCCGTGGGTGCTGCTGGTTTCAAGCCAGGAGCAGATCCTGTGAGCTCCCTCTCCTCTGCTCACCCTGCAGATTGCCAACGTGCTCTACCTGGAGTCCCCCGCTGGCGTCGGCTTCTCGTACTCCGATGACAAGAACTACGCCACAAACGACACGGAGGCAAGTGATGGGGCTGATGGAGGGGCCCATCCCGGCGCGGGGGTCCTGCCTTGCTGGTGACTCGGCCCTTCTGCCCTGCAGGTTGCTCACAACAACTACCGGCCCTGAAGGACTTCCTCCGGCTCTTCCCCGAGTACTGCAAGAACGATCTCTACCTCACGGGGGAGAGCTACGGGGGAATCTACATCCCCACGCTGGCCGAGTGGGTGATGCAGGACCCCAGCCTCAACCTGAAGGTGAGCAGTGGGGCTCTGCCGCCCGCCTGGCCTGAGCAGGGGCTTGGCCCTGCCTTGCCGCGGTGCCGGGGTGGGGACAGGCGTGCGGGGCTCTCTCTGGGGTGTGGGGGCAGGGCCGGCCCCGCGCCTTTCATCTCGTGCTGACGCTGGCAGCGGCTGCTGTGGACGTGCCCGGCCCGGCCGTGCGGGACCCGGGGAGCGTTCTCAGGCAGCCCTGACCCTCCCTGTTCCCTCCGTGCAGTAAACAGAGCTGCATCTGCTTCCTGTGGCCTGCCCTGTGGGGAGCGGGAACACAACAGAGTTGTTTTCTTCTTGCCTCGCAGGGAATCGCTGTGGGAAATGGTCTCTCATCCTATGAGATCAATGACAACTCCCTGGTTTACTTTGCCTATTACCACGGCCTGCTGGGGACCGAGTAAGAAGGGGGGGTGCTGCTGGATGCTCTGTCCCTGTCCCCAAGGCTGGCTGGGTCTGTGGTGTGTGGGACACGGGCAGCCCCTGCGTGGGCCAGCAGCCGTGCTGTGGAGATGGCCCCTTGTCACAGGCAGCTCCATGGGTGTGATTGCTCATGGGCACACAGGGCACGGGCTGAGCCATGTGCTATGCAGCAGCAAGGCCGGGAGCCTGCGGTGCTGTTGGTGTTGCCACCTGGGCAGTGTGGTTCAAGACCCTGGTCTCTGCCCACAGGCTGTGGAAAGACCTGCAGACCTTCTGCTGCTCCCAGGAAAAGTGCAACTTCCACGACAACTCCAACCTGAACTGCACACTCAAGGTGAGGGGAGCGGCACGTACCCTGTGCTGGTGTGGGGGAGCAGCACCCGCCATGGACCCTGGAGCATCCTGCTGAGTCCCAACCCCTTCCTGCGGCTCGTTGCAGATGGAGGAGATGATTCAGATTGTGGAGGAGTCCGGCCTCAACATCTACAACCTGTATGCGCCGTGTGACGGCGGCGTCCCCGGGGGCTTGAGGTCAGAGTAGCCCCAGGGCAGCGGGTCTCGGTTTGGTTTGCTGTGGGAGGGGTCCTGGCTGGCGCTGGGCTGGGGCCCCTCTGGGACCCTTTGACCAGGCCTGGCTGCTGTCAAGGACTCCCCCAGGGAGGGCCCCCAAGCTCTTGCTCCTCCAGAGCTTTCAGCCCATCCCACGTCATTCCTGCTGCAGGTATGAGAGTGACTACCTCATCACCCACGACCTGGGCAACTCCTTCATCCGCATGCCCATGAGGTTCTCGTGGCGGCAGGTGAGCTGTGGGGCCGCGCGTGTCCTCGGGGGGCGGGAGGGGGCAGAGAGCGGCCACCCCCGCGGGCAGCTGCGGCACGGCCTCTCCCCGCTCTCCCAGAACCTGTTCCGGATGCCGGTAGCCCGCAATAAGGTGCGGATGGACCCGCCCTGCACCAAACTCCACGGACATCAGCGTGTACCTGAACGCGCCGGAGGTGCGGAAGGCTCTGCACATCTCCGCCGAGGCCCCGGAGTGGCAGGTTTGCAGGTGAGAGAGCTCCGGCGGGAGGGACCGGCCCCAGCGCCAGCGGCCGCCTGATGTTGACGCTTCCTGCACAGCTTTGAGGTGAACCGCGGCTACAAGCGCCTCTACATGCAGATGAACGACCAGTACCTGAAGCTGCTCGGAGCCACGGTGCGTGGGGGGGGAGCCGCCAGGCCCCGGGACCGGCTCTGCCGAGCTGCGGAGCGCTCACTGTCCTTCTGCCCCACAGAAATACCGAATCCTGGTGTACAACGGGGACGTGGACATGGCCTGCAACTTCCTTGGGGACGAGTGGTTTGTGGACTCCCTGTGCCAGAAGGTAAACGGGCAGTGCAGGCCCGGGCCGGGCCGGTCCCCAGCTCTGTGGGCTGGGGCTGGCTGGGGGTGAGGGCAGCGGGGCGCTGAGGGCACCGCACTGCTGCCAGGTTCAGGTGGCTCGCCGGCCCCTGGCTCTACACGGAGAGAGGTGAAAACCAGATTGGGGGCTTCGTGAAGGAATTTACCAACATCGCCTTCCTCACCATCAAGGTAGGGCTGCGTGGCCTCGGGGGAGACAGGGCTGCCAGTGCCACAGCCAGAGCGGGGCTGGGCTGTGGCTGACCTGCTGCCACCCATGTCCCACAGGGAGCTGGGCACATGGTGCCCACAGACCGGCCGCTCGCTGCCTTCACCATGTTCAGCCGCTTCATCTAGGAATGAGCCATACTAAAACCAGTGGAGGCAGCACCCGGCTGCCCTCAGCACCTCCCGCACAGCCCCACCGCAGCTGCGCCAGGGCTCCTGCACCACACACCCCCCCCGCTGCAGCCTGTGGGGCTCCCTGCGCTAGCCTGGGGTGAGGATGGGGCTGCAGGAGCAGCCCTGGGGGCTCTGCTCTCGCTGGGTGAGGAGCTGTGCGGCCTGCCTGCAGCTGCCACCTCTTTTTGTGGCTTCCTGTGTCGCCTCTTCCCTGTCTGGGGTAGCAGCTGCGTCCCCCCGGGTCTGGCACAGCCCCACACTTCCCTTTGCCCCTGCACGCAGAGCCCTGGGGCAGACTGAGGGAGCTGCCCCATTAGAAAGCACAGTGCAGGTGGTGGCTGCAGGCAGCTCCTGGAGGGCTGTCTGCTCCAGACCCGCTCTCACCTCTGAGCCCGCTGCAGGAGGCATTCCATAATGACAATCCCCACTGCCTGCTCCCTGCCGCAGGGCACACAGTGCTCTGGGAACTTGCAATAAACTCTGAAGCCAAGACCAGCTCCTCGCACCACTCTGTTGCCCCTCTGCTCTCTGATGAGTACCACCCTGTGCCAAGGATGCTGTAGCAGTGACCACTGTCACACTCTGCTGGGGCACCAAGACTTGTGTGTCCTCTGTCCCCTCCACTGCTCAGTGTTCACTGAGGCCTGGAAACAGGGCCCCCACAAGAGCAGGGAGGGGCAGTTGCTCTGAGCCCCTCTGCCACTGGTCTGTAGCTGCCTCCTTCCCCACCTCTCCCCCATGCACAACACGGGCCCATCCTCCAAACATCGAGGCCACAGGGGTTGGAGTCGCGTGGTTTATTAGTGTGAGGAGCAGGGAGCAGCAGGGGTTCCCAGAGCGTCCGTCTCCACCTTGCTGCTACCCACCAGGGCACGGGGCCCTGCAGGACATGCCAGTGGGACCGGGGAAGCTGCTTCCTACCTACAGTCTACGGGTCCAGCCCGGGATCTGCCCTTAATCCGCAGTGAGGGAGTGTGGAGAAGCGCTAGAGCTGGGGGGGCTCCATGCTGGGTGCTGTGGGCTCTGAGCTGGGGCGGGCAGCAGCTGTGGGCGCTGGGCGGTATTTCTCAATCACCTCTCGCAGCTCTTTGGAGAAGTGGAGATCAGCTCCCACCGTGAGGAATCCCTGCGAGGGGGGAGAGGATTAGCATGAGCCTGGGTGGGAACGGGCCCTGCCCCACAGGACACAGTCCCTGCGCCCACTGTGGGGGCCCAGGCTGTCCTCGTACCGCATGGTTGGTGACCACCTCCTTAGTGAAGTCCATGCCTTCTGGCAGTGGGATCTGCACCCCCTTCTTGGTCCTCTCTGTAGGGAGGGAGAGACCGCAGTGAAGCCAAGTGCGGCTGCCCCAGGCCCTGTGCGGGCAGCGCTGGTGCCTACCGTTAATGATGGGCATGATGGTCAACTGCAGCAGCGTCTTCAGAGGGGCCTGCAGCGAGAAGAGCTGCGGGGAGAGGGGTCTGGGTGAGGCAGCAGCAGCAGCAGCCCAGGCCCTGCTTGGCCCCAGGGGCCTCGGGGTGTGTCCTGTGCCCCGGGCAGGGTAGGGGCTGCTGTGGGAGCTCACCGCGAGTGACTCCAGTGCCGACTGCTTGGAGTAGATGCGGAACCTGCGGGGGGGAACCAGGCGTGAGCGGGGCACGGGGGGCACCGTCCTGCAGCCTCCAGTGCCCCACACCGGCCCTACCGCCGCAGGTCCAGCTGCACGCGCAGTGCCTTCCCCTGCAGGTACACCCTGGCGCTCAGCTTTGTCTCCTGTGGAGAGAGGAGGGTGAACCACAGCCCTGGGTGTTGCTCCCAGCCTCCCTGTCCCTCTGCTCTGGGACACCGCAGCCTCCCACGTGGGCTGGGAAACGCTGTTCCAGGCACAGGGGTCCCTGCTCACCATGGCCATGCTGGAGAGCTGCACGGCTGGGCGGCCAGGCGGCACCAGCGAGATGTTGAGGAAGGCAGAGACGGAGACGGAGGTGCCCGAGGGTTTGATGATGCAGCGGGGGGGAGCCGAGACCTGCAGCACCAGCCGCAGGGGCGCATCCACCGTGGGGCTCTGAGGAGGGCAGGTGAGCCACGGGCAGGGAGCGGGGCCGGGCTTTGCCCCGTGCCTCCCGCCTGGCCACGTGCTGCTCTCACCAGCATGAAGATGGTGCCGAAGAAGGTGGCTCTCAGCAGAACCTCCAGGTCCTTGGGCACCTGCAGGGAGGACAAACCACCCGAGGGTGAGCGAGCAGTCGCTGTTGACCCAGCAGAGTTGTTCCCTCATCTGTTGTGTGGGCAGAGCCCAGCCCTCCCTCCTGCCTGCCCGCAGAGAGCTGCCTGCTGGAGCTGGGTGTCCTGCACTGCTTTACCTTCTCCCCCTGGAGCTCGATGGCCAGCACACCCGCCTGGAAGTATGCGTGCATGGCCGAGTCGAAGAAGTACTCAGAGAAGGCGACATAGACCATGCGCTCGGTCTCCTTGATCACCGGCTCCACCGCGTGGTTCTCCAGCTCCTGGTTCTCTCTTACACGTGGGAAGAACATGCCCTAGGCCGAGAACAGGAGAGGTTTCTGTAGCTGTAGCACAGCCCAGGCTGCTCCGTGGTGCCCAGCATGCAGCCAGCACAGCTGCTCTCAGCAGGGCAGGATCCAGCCTTCACCTTGAAGTCCAGGTCAAGGGTGTCTGCAGAGACGGCCGGATCCCGCAGGAGGGAATAGTCAATCCCTATGTGCTCATCCACGTAGTTCCTCACTGCCGGGAGGACGTGCTGCTGTCACCGTGCCCGCAAGCAGCCCGATGCCCAGCTCTGATCCCTTGCCCCAGCGACACTCACCTGGCACCGTGTCCAGCACAGAGTTGAGCAGCACCAGGCTGGCGTGCTCCAGCGATGGGCAGATCTGAAAGGCAAGGGGCTGGGCTAAGAGGTCTGGATGAGGACCTGGTCCTCCTGCTGCTGCAGGGCAGGGGAAGGCTGTGGTCCCCATTGCCTGTGCGCACTGAGCTGTACCTGCTGGCTGAGGAGGAAGCGCATCCCTGTGACAATGAAGGTGCTCAGGAACTCGTAGACCTTCCTGCAGGACACAACAGCAGCTCTGCAGCTGCCTGCCTTCCCCTGTGACTCCAGCTCCATGTGAGCACAAAGCCCAGGCGGGGGGGGCAAAGGGTGCAGAAGGGGAAGTCTGGGAGCTGGGCACAGGCAAAGCTGCCCTGGCAGAGGGACAGGGCTGCTGCAGCAGTGTCGGGTGTACCTGAGCGTGCCGGAGAAGCCTGCGTACATCCTGGCAATGGAGGCATTGCAGGTGATGTTGGAGATCTTGAGGCGCCCAGCCTCGTCCTTGGCCAGCTGCAGCACTGTGTGGATGTGGACACCATCCGCGGAGGCATTGATGGACCCGATGTCATAGCTGGAAGCGAGGAAAGTGGATGAGAGGAGCCCTCAGCACCCAGCAGGCACAGCCGGGGGTGGGCAGTGGGAGCAGGAGGAAGCTCACAAGAACCAGTAGAGCAGCTGCCTGCGGAAGCGCAGGCTGATGGAGGCATTGTTGATGTTGAAGACGAGGTGCTGCTGCGGCTGGAAGTGCAGGTCCGACAACGCTAGCTGCAGGTCCATCACCTTGACCCTGCAAGGAGGAGACAGAGCGGGTGGGATGCACAGACGGGTGCAGGGAGCTGCGGGAAGCAGGCAGCACTCACTGGCTGATGTTGTAGTGGAACTGTCCCTCCTTCCCGTGCAGGTCTGACACTGTGATGTTCTGCAGCTCCTGCTCCACGAAGCGCAGCCCCTCCTGCTTCACTGTAAAGCAAAGGGAGCCCGGGCTGGCCACAGCCAGGCTGTGTTCCCCCCCAGCAGCATCACCCTTGTGTGTGCAGCACAGGCAGAGCCCAGCCAGGGTTGTGTCCCAACCTCCCTCTGCCCAGGCCCTGGGGCCACTTACCCAGGTCCAGCCCCTTGGAGGTGATCCGGATCTTGCAGCCGGGTGGGCTCTGTGAGGCGGTGATCAGCCAGGGGAGGAGGAAGAGGAGGAGGAGGCGGCCGCCGGCAGCCATCTCGTACCCGGAGCAGAGCAGAGGAGAGGGTCAGCAGGGGCGGGCTGGAGGGGCACGGCCGGTGCCTGACCTGCTCACAGCCCCCGGGCAGGGCACGGCCCGAGGAGCACCCGCAGCTCCTGCTGCTGCCCAGACCCCATCGCCTGAACCCCCAGAGAGGAGCAGCCCACAAGAGGCAGAGCCCCCACCCGGGGCGCTGCGCACAAGCCCCTGCACGGACCCCGCGGGGCCTCAGTGCCCTGGAAGCAGTCGGCTCCTGCAGCCCCAGCAGCGTCCAGCGCTGAACAGCCTCAGTCCCGCAGAGCAGCGCACAGGCTGTGAGCTGCTGCTGCAGGGAGCCGGGCAGCCCCATAGCACCCCCCTCCCCAGCCCCGCTGCGGGGATGTGCTAGGGCCCGGTGGCTGGGCTGAGCAGCAGCAACAGGCAGAGCTCCTGCAGGGCTGGGGGACGCTCTGGGGCTCCCCGCTCCATTGCCCCCCAGTTCTCACAGGGCGAGCGTGGGGAGCGGGGCCCGGGGAGCAGGGCACAACCCGGCTCGGTCCGGGTACTTACAGCGGGGCTTGTCCTCGGCTCCCCTGGCGGGGGGAAGCTGGATCACGTGAAGGCACGGAGGGAGAGCTCCAGCAGCTCCAGGAGTTTCTTCAGCGCCGGCTGCGGTTCTGCCTTTATAGAGCCCACCCGCGGCCACTCCTTGCGAGCCCACAGCTGGGAGGAGACAGCGGCACGGGGAGGATGCGGGTCCCGGGCTCGCTGCCTGCCGGCGCGGGCAGGGACATCGCTGCGGGCACAGCTCCCGCCTGTCCCCGCGGGGCACGTGGGGATTGAGGGCTCCGTCAGTCGGGGCAGCCCCCCCAGCTGCTGCTCCTGGTGCCAACTTCCCCCCAGCCGGGCTCTGCCAGCTCCGGCCCTGGGCTGGAGCCCAGCTCAGGCTCTGGGATGCCGGTGCAGGCTGGTTCATGCCCATCTGCGACGTGAGCCCCAGGCACAGAAGCCGCCGATGCTGCCGGGTGCAGCAGCCACTGCCCGAGCGCTCGG